AAGACGATGTTGGTACTCTGAGATTCTATGATCCAAGGGGGATAGAGAGACTAAAGCACACATCTTTTTTTTTTTTTTTTTTTGCCCACCATCCTTTTTGTATTTTTATTTTTTTAACATTTTATTAGGGGCTCATACAACTGTTATCCCAATCCATACACACATCAATTGTGTAAAGCGCATTTGTACATCGTTTCTCAAAACATTTTCTCTCCATTTAAACCCCCTACATTAGGTCCTCATTTTTCCCCTCCCTCCCCGAACACACATCTTCTGTACTTGAGTGATGGTGGATCCTCAGATACTACTTCCTTCCCAGAAGAGATTTAGAGTAACAAATTTCTGATACGTGCCTGTGGGGGTTTGTTCAGGCTGCTAAGAATCTGACTTCTGGGTGGTAAAGGTCTTCCTGTCCCTTATAGTGACCCTGACACCTTGTAAAAGCCTATGTACATTTAGAAAGTTAATTCAATTTAAAATGGTTTGTTGATTCTTTGAAAATTGGTGATTCATTTGTTTTGTAATTTTAGCTCCTTGTCAACTGGAATTTGACATTTTATGTCACACAGACAAACTGAAATCATTAAAGTTTTTAATATATATATAAATTATAATTCTGGACTTTGTATGCCTGTGACTATAGTCCATTTTAGATGGACAGGAATATATTGGGATTAAGAACCTACCTTAGTAGAGGATATGAACTGAGCCACACTGTTTCCTTGAGGGCATCTTTGGGCTTTACCTTTATGGAAGGTGTGGCTTAAGACCCCATTCTTTGTGGGGTATATATACTGGTTCTAGCACACATTACCTCACTTGGAAACCCATGCCCCATTTCCTGACAGCTTGGTAGAAGCAAGAAGACCTGCTATTGACTTTTGGACATTTTTTGTTTCTGACTCTGGACCTTGTATTTGACTCACCTCTGCCTGACCTTAGGATCAGAGGCTGAACAAATATCACCCACCATCACATGAGACAGTTCCTCAAAGTTTTATGAGTTTCTGTGGGATGTTGCAGTGAATTGCAGAACCCACGTAAGGGAATATACTTAGTGTGTGTGGGACTGGGGGGTGCAGCATGTTGGGAAGAGTTGGACACTTGGAGCATCTTAAATTTCCAACTTCTTGGAATTAGCCTGGCATTTATTCTTGTAAAAGTAATTAACCACCATGTGCTTTTGGTGTTGTGTCTAAAAAGATTGTTACCTAATCCAAAGGTTTTCTCCTATTGTAGGAGGATTATCATTCTGTGTTTTGTCTTTACATTTAGATCTACGATCTCTTCTACATTAATTTCTGTAGCTTTATTCAGAAATAATTTACATGCTATACAGCTCACTCATTTAAAATATTTAATTCAAAATCTCTTCACAGAGTACAACCATCATCCTAATCACTTAAGGAACATTTTCCTCCCCACAAAAAAACTGTCCCCTTTGACATAACCTTCCCATTCTTCCCAAATTAATTTTTATATATGATGCAAGGTATAGACAAAAATGTGCATATGTTTGCGTATGAATACCTGGCATATGTCTTAAGAAAGGAATTTTTGTTTTCCTTATTGAATTACTTTTGTTGAAAACCATTTGGCTACATGTGTATGAATCTGTTTCTGGACTCCTTTCCCTTGATCTCTGTTCTATCCTTAGGCTATTTTCATATTAACTTAATGTAGTTAAAAGTAAGTCTTGAAGTTAATGAAGTTTAATAGTAAGTCTTGAACTTTATTATTTTATTTTAAATCATTTTATTGGGGTCTCGTACAACTCTTATCACAATCCATCCATCCATCCATTGTGTCAAGCACATTTGGACATTTATTGCCATCATTATTCTCAAAACATTTGCTTTCTACTTGAGCCTTTGGTATCAGCTCATTTTTTCTCCCTCCACCACCCTCCCTCCCTCATGAGCCGTTGATAATTTATAAATTATTATTATTTTGTCATATCTTATACTGTCCGACATCTCCCTTCACCCACTTTTCTGTTGTCCGACCTCCAGGGAGGGGGTTATATGTAGATCCTTGTAATCGGTTCCCCCTTTTACTCCACCTTCCCTCCACCCTCCTGGTATTGCCACTCTCACCACTGGTCCTGAGGGGTTCATCTATCCTGGATTCCCTGTGTTTCCATTTCCTATCTGTACCAATGTACATCTTCTGGTCTACCTGGATTTATAAGGTAGAATTGGGATCATGGTAGTGTGCGGGGAGGAAGCATTTAAGAACTAGGGGAAAGTTGAATGTTTCACCGTTATTATACTGCATCCTGCCTGGCTCATCTCCCCACAACCTTTCTGTAGGGGGATGTCCAGTTGCCCACAGATGGGTTTTGGGTCCTCACTCCCCACTCCTTCTCATTTACAATAATAGGATTTTTTGTTCTTTGATGCCTGATACCTGATCCCATCGACACCTCGTGATCACATAGACTGGTGTACTTCCATGCGGGCTATGTTGCTTCTCAGCTAGATGACCGTTTGTTTATCTTCAGGCCTTTAAGACCTCAGACACTATATCTTTTGATAGCCGGGCACCATCAGCTTTCTTTACATTTGCTTATGTATCCGGTTTTGTCTTCAGTGATTGTGTTGGAAAGGTGAGCATCTCAGAATGCCAATTTAATAGAACATGTTCTTGTGTTGAGGGAGTACTTGAGTAGAGGCTGTGTCCATCTGCTACCGTAATACTAAACCTATAAATATATACACATAGATCTATTTCACTGTCATCATATATTAATGTATTTACATATGTACATGCCTGTATTTAGACCTCTGTAAATGCCCTTTGCCTCCTAGTTCTTTCCTCTATTTCCTTTTACTTTCCTCTTATCCCACTATCATGATCAGCCTTCATTTGGGTTTCATTAATTCTTCTCGGTTACATTGCCTTTGATCAAGCCCCTGCCCAGGTCTCTTATGCCCTCCTCGCCACCAATTTTGGATCACTTGTTGTTCCCTTGTCCCTGGGTTTGTTAACACCACTTCCTTTCCTCCATCTCCCCTTCTCCCAAGTCCCCCCCAAGATTGTTTATCCCACCTATCTTATCTAGATAGACCTGCAGAAATAATATGCACAAAACAAGACAGAGCAAAACAAAGCAACAAAGGAAAACAACAACAGTAACAAAAAAACAAATGACAGACAAAAAAGAAAAATCTGTAAATAGTTCAAGGTCTGTTTGTTGACCTTTAGAGTGTTTTCTGGTCGAGTCTGATGGGGTTTTGTACCCTAACCCCAAAGTCTATTTTTGGTATTCTCTTGGACTTCCTTGTTCTGCGCCCTTTGCTGTTCTGTTCCAAGTCCTTAGCGTTTTGCCTCAGTGTGGTGGGGCCAGATCCGGCACAATCCCCACACTGTGTCTCCAGTGTTGTCCCCTGTAGAGCTATGGGTCAGGGAGGGATGTCGTGTCTCATAGTGGGGCTGGCCATATGGCCTTCTCTGTGCATTGACTGCTCTGGGCAAGGATCTCATCCTCAAGGCTTGTTGGGCCAAGGCTTGTTGGGCTCCACTCTCTCTTCTTCCACCTTCATTTGCTCCTGTGTGCTCTGATCAGACATGTCCCTTGGGATTGAGGCCGGCTGAACTTTGTTATTTTTAAAAAATTGTTTTAACTCTTCTATTCCTTTGCTTCCGTGTAAATTTAAAAATCAGCTTGTCAATTAAAAAAATCTTGGTGATTTTTGTTCTGTTTTTAATAATTTTCACAAGATGCCTACATGTATTTGCCATTTTTTTTTTCTTTCAGTAAAAACAGATCATTTTCATTGTGGTGCCAAATGATGCCACAACTATTTTTTTTGGCCATGTCTTAGGCTAAAGGTATGAATACCAAGAGGGATGCTTTGAGGTTAAAGAGCTCGGGTTGTTTTATTTGTCATGGAAAGAACTTTGTACAATCATGTGTTGCTTAACACCCACCAGTGTTCTATGAAACAAATAGGGCATTATGCGAATGTTATCTACACCATAGTATGTACAAGTGAGGTCTGTTCTTAAATCTGTCTATAAGCTGAATTTGAGGAAAGGTAGTGAGGCATGGTTAGTACTTTTCCCTGTGGCTCCCTAGCATACAATGTACAGTATGCCTTTCTATGCGTATGAACATTAAAGAAACACTTATAGATGCACTGAAATATCTCTAACATAATAATCGAGTAGTAGTAATAATAATGTTTTGATGGGTGTTGCAAAATAACACTCATTTGCTATGGATTAGTGTAATTTGAATTTTTCATACAATAAACTTTATGGGGGTGGGACTATGGATGTAGATACATATGGATGCTACCAGATGGACAGTATCGGTTGCGTGATTGTATGTACTCGTGGTGACTGAAAGTGCAAAGATAATGTCAAGCCAGATGTGTGATTTTTTGTGTCTTCCTCCCCCATTAAAAACATCTGTACCCATTTAAAAGCTACAAGAGATTGATTGTATGTTGTTCATTTTCCCTTTCAGAAATTTCATTCTTTTTTTTTCTCTCAGAAATTTCATTCTTAATAGCGCTAATTGTCAGCAAAAGGTCTATATGTGATCAGGGGAATAAAATAGATATTCTTCCTATATTTATATTAAGATTTATAGTTTACTTCTGAAAGATATGTGCTTATTAGTTAATTTTTCCTTCTGATGGCTTATAAATGAGTCATTTTCCTAGTGGCTAGTTATATAAATGGCCAGTATACTTGTCTTCTAATTTTTCTTCAAACATGTTGATTATAGAAATGCTTAATTTTCTTCCAAAAGTTAGTTCTCTCTCTTTTCTTCCACCTTTTTGTACATTGGGATTGGGAGGTCTTGGGACGATGTCAGGCTTGGAACAAATTTATTAAGAACATTTGGCCATTTGGTTTCTTTCTTTTTTTAAAAATTTTTTATTTATTTATTTATTTGGTTTTTTTGTAGTCTCAATTTTTAAAAATAATTATTTGTTTCTCTCCCATCAAGGCATCATGTGCCTAAGGAGTATTTCCTTGTTTTACAGGTTCTAAATGGCTTCTAAGAAGTTGGGTGCAGATTTTCATGGTAAGTCGACTACTAGATATTATCATTTTAAGTTATGATTTAATCACTATTTGAAATCACATAGTATAGTTGAAGTAAGTGCCCCCTTTCGTCCCTATAAATGAGCAGCTTGAGAAGAAGCTGTGTAAACAGTATAGCATAAACTTCCAGTGAAAGTAGAAGGCAGGCCTTAAGTTGCCTCTGGATCACATTTCCAAGTAACCAGAGAGGACAGAGCCAAGAGTAGAGGCAAGGCCTAGGGAGAGAAAGTAGCAAAAATGAAAAATTGGAACTCATAACCTTATTTCAAAAGGTAAACATTTTAATTTGAGTCTTTGGACACTCCTT